GGAACAGAGTGATGTTTTCTGACGAGTCCAGATTTCTTTTGGATCACCACGATGGAAGGCAGAAAGTCTGCCGGAGACGTCATGAACGTTATTTACCTCAGTGTGTCAGTGCTATTGCTGACAAACGTAGCATTCTGGTATGGGAATCCATAAAGCACCTCTGGAACAAGATGGAAAAGGAAATTCGCGCACTATGGCCACCCCCAATGACAATCCCACAACTGCAGCAATCACTAATTGATGCTTGGAATAATACTCCCCAGCAATTTATCCAAAGACATATGCAATCCATGAAGTGGAGATGCACTGTAGTCATCAATGCTGGTGGGAGATACACCTGTTACTAATTCTGGGATTTTGAACATTCGAAAAGTAATTATTAATTTCTAATAAAAGGTGTGCTTTTGATAGTTTTTCTTAGTCTTTTTGTCTGCATTTATTGAGAAATGGCAAGTCTTTCAAAATCCATTGGCAATACGGCATTACAACGGCAAAGAAGGGAAATAATGCACAGAACGGAGGGTGCCCACTTTCTTTTGCTCGTCAGTATATATGAACTCGCATAATTTGGAAACAGATGAGGTCTATTTAAAAATAGAAAACAGTGTGACGTCTAATTAAGTTTATGAAACAGAAGAAAGATATCAAAAGCTATATGTTTCTGTCCACATTTTTAACAAGTCAAAATGCAGGTGAACAGAACCTTGAAGCTATTTTATTAAGAGTACACAAAAAGTACCCTCAAAATTTTGCTGCAATCATAAGAATGTGGCAAGTTATTACTCGTATGTAGAAACTCTAAAAGCTCTTGATTTAATTTGACTGCAGTCAAATATTTTACAGTTGAAAGAGTGCACAACTCATACAACATTTCAACATCTCTCTAATCTCTTTTTAAAAAGTCAAATAATGCATTTGTCACCAATTTTAATAGCATTTTGAGTTCACTTCCATTTGAAAAGAGTCTTTATCTGTTGTTTATGCAAATAGTAGCACTGAGTATCAAGTTTAATAAAAACAAAAGGCTTTAAAGTGATAAGAAACATGATTATGACTGAGAAGAATAAAAGAAGGTAGAAACCCCACAAAAACTCACAAGTGGTACAATTCAGCCAGTTGCTCTATGCAAACAAAAGTTACAATTTATTTGTGACACAATCCGTTAGGAAAATGCTGCTAGACATTATCCCCCATCCTGTTCTAAACACAAAGAGCTAGAGATAAAACAAACTGCCCTCATATCAATCGACATAAAATGTACTCTTTGAAAGACAGAAAATGTCTTGTCCATTAAACCCCCCCCCAACAAATCGCCTATAGATAAAAAATAGAATAACCAATTATCTCACAAAAATCAGATCCACCTCATCTCATAATAAACTAAATAATCAACAGACAAAAAAAAAACTGACCTCATGAAAATCAATGTCGAAGTCGTTGGGCAGTAAAGTATGGTAGACATTTTCCAGGCTGAGTACGTAGAACTGGCCAGTTGCTTCAGAGAGATACAGGTTGACCTGATTACCATGATTGACAGCCACAAAAACTTGACCATCATCAACATCCAGCAACATAAAGTCCTGAAAAAAAATTTATCAAGTCAGATAAAATTAGAAAGCTCTAAATCAGTTTTACCCAACAGTTCATGCTTTAAAACAATTTACTGTGATAATAGGAGACTGCAAAATATATGAGTTGCTCCCCTTATGTTTTGTCTTCGTCCATTTGCTTATTTGCTTTTCTGACCCACTCCATACTTGCTTTTACCTTTCAACAATTAGGCTGGCTAAAACACTCAAAAGTTTTCCTACAGTACACAGAGCTCATATACACAGGGATTTCTATTATGCTTTTGACTACTCACATCAATGAAAGAAAGGATTGGCACAATAAACAACATCTCACAGTTATCACATGGTCAACTCACATCTGTTTTCAAGTCACTCGGGAAGTAGGCTCTCTTAAAGGGACCTCTCTTATAGGAAACCAATAAATAGTCTTCCGATTCCATGAAGTTTGACTTCTGAAAGAGAAACATTTTGTTGAGTGATTTTGTGATTAAAACCAAACATTTGACCTAATTTTTTCTCCCATTACATGAAACTATAAATAATCACGGATATACAATTACATTTTCTTTGTTCACACAATTTCAAAGTGTCACCATAAAAAATCTTCATCAGAAATCCAAGTAGGCAGTTCAGTGATAAATTCAAAGTTGTTAGATTTTGATGAAAACAGGATCAAATGAAAGGTCCTGTCACACTGATCACAGTGCTTTTTGAATTTTGTCAATATCTGTATTGGTTGAGAAGGTAAGGGATTTTTTCTACTTTATTTTTCGCTCAAAATCTGGTCCTTTTTCGCAATGTGTTTTGCAACTAAAGGTGGACAAAAATTGACAAAAATGTACATATCTTCGCAACCAGTAAAGATATCTTCCTGTTTTTTTTGCATCAAATTAAACGTTATTATCTGTACTTTCATATAAAAAAAAACATACAAAGTTTAGTGTCATAAATCTTAGGCTTGTTTTAAAGATAAAGAATATTTCTAACTGCTAGAAAAGTTACAAAACTGCCAGGCAAGTGGGGAAAAAAGATATCAAAAATTGAAAATTGGCTTAAATTCAAATCAAAATATCTCTGGCTCCACTAGTCGGATCTGCCAAAGGAAGAAGCAATTTTGTAGATGATTTAAAATCTACAAAACATGTATTGAAAGTAGTGGTCATCACTAATTAACGAAACAATATTCGCGATTTTCTGAGGACACCAAATCGCCGTGCGCTCACGGTTTTCTACCGGAGGCGAGGGGCCGATTTCGCCGCTAGCTGATCTCGTTCACTGAACTGCCTAAATAAACAATAGCAAAAATGATTTATACCTAATCAAGAAGGAATATTGGAATGCTCTGAAAAAGAAGCACACAAATCAAAACGAACCATGAAATCACCACAGAAGCAAACATGAATACTACTCAGAATGAAAACTAGAAATATTCTTTACAAAAAATTTGCATGAAGTAGATGAGATGAACCAAATACTTTTTAAACTTTAACACTACCAGTATCAAAAAAAGAAAGACAGAGATGCACATGAAAAGAAATCTTGGGACTGAATAGAGTTTTGTCCCAATATACTTGCTCCAGGTTCAAAAACCTGTTTATGAAACAGCCTGAATCTGCCTCAAATCTGATCTTGAACAAAATGATAAGAATTATCTGGCCAAGTACTACTCAATAACCTACCACGCATTACAGGAGCTGGGAATGAGGAACGAGAGAGTCTGAGAGGGGAGTTCAATAAATAGGCAACAAAACAAATTAGATTATGAACACAGTTTATCATCATGATCTCCCATTTCTCTTCAGTAGCAACATTATGGTTACCATCAGCATGATCCTCATTTTCACTTATATCATTATCTGTAACATTAGCATTTCCACAATTTGTGGATCCGTACAGTTAAATGAGTTTTTCCTTTTGGTGTTTCTCCAGACTCAAACGAAAATTTTCCTATAATACTTTGGTTCGGCCATTGTTCAGCACAATTTTGTATTTAGCTTCAACTGGCAAAGATGTGGCACCCAAAAAAAATAAATCCGGCACAGCGCCGAAAACTGGCCGAAATCGTGCCTCTTAGTTTCCCAGGCCAGCGACATCTGGAAGTCATTAAATCACTGTCGGAATCGCCGCATGCCGGGTTACGCGGGGGTCACTGGCCGCTCGATTGCGCATCAGTTACAGGCGGCCAGGTCATCGCGTAATCGACACTTTTGATACTAATTATCGGCAGTATCCTCACTCTAACCACGAATTAGTCCATACAAAAAGAAAAGAGCGAGATTCCCCCTCTCAGTCTGCGAAAACCCGATCTCAATGCGACGATATTTGCTGATGTTACAGTGTGTGCAAAATGTTCTCAATTTCATTGAATTTAATATGTGTGTGCTGCACTTAATTCACTTTTAATTTTCAAAGTTCCTGCTCAATCTCAACAAATTTTGGTACATGCACTGATGACATATTTGAACTTTACAAGTGTAATTTTCATCATTGTTTGAAGAATAGTTATTTCAATATTAAGTCGTTTACATCTGATTCTCATCCAGTGCCTTGTTATTTGGCCCCTGCAACTGTATATTCTGGATTCTATGCTGTTATAAATTCAACAGTTCTCCATTAATTTAATAGATTTTTGTTTCTATGAAAGACAGACACATTTGTGCTTACTGTGTATAAATTATTTCATCTTTGTTGACTGAGCTATGTTACGATATTATGTAGAATCCATTTGCCCGAGATTCATTTCTAGCAGGTTTAATGAAATCTCCCAATGGAACACACACATGAGAGAAATTCCTCCTCCCTGAATGAATTTTGTTGCGCGTTGCGGGTGTAAGAACGTGACTAAAGTACAACAGAGGCTGAAAAGAAAGGCTAGGACATGTGAGTCACTGCAAAGGGAAATTTTAAGATTCAATCATTGTTGACAACGAGCACATTATAGGTTGATTTTCGACTCTCTCAAACAAGCATACAGTCAAATTCATAATGACGTCTCACACAGCGCACCTATTCCGAAAACCTCTATTCCAGCAATTCAGAAAGCAATAGACACGTACATGAAACTGTACAGAAGACATTTTCCAAAAAAGAAAATCCCCAAACAGCATATTTTTGAACAACACTGCATTCCATTCATAACACAACACGGCTTTGACCTGGGCCTGCTGGGAGAACAAGGAACCTAAAGCTGTCACCAGTTTATTTCAAAAATTGAAAAGCGGGCTCAAGGCATTGTAAACAGTACGGAAAAACTACAATACTTTATGATCGCACATTTGCTCCAGACAGCACCTTCACTGCGCATTGAGGCTGCAGGCACCGAGAAACAACCCCGGCGCCATAGATAAGCGTATAGATGTACAAGATGTGTAAATAGATCTGTGTCATTAATTTAATGAAAGATACTGTAATGTGAATTTCATCACAAGCCCAACGAATTTGGCTGTTGAGCAAAAATACAAAAATGTGGATTACTAATCTTCCAACAATGATGTCCTTTGGTAAGTAGATGTCCACATTAATTGTCTTTATTCAGAGCGAGTCTTAGTAAATTTTATACAGTACTTTGGTAGTTACATAACTTTTAATTCGGTGTATATTAACTTAATTACCACATAATAGACGGCTGTATTTGATCACATGCAGTTAAAAAATTATACTAGATATCATTGTAGCGTTTTCACAAACTACATTGAAAGTAGAAACTCAAAGATGGAACAGTATGTGTATATTGATAGCCCTGCTTTCATTCATGAGCGTTGAAACAAAACTGTGTAAAATTGTATGTAACCCTGTGCGTGGAGTGAGCGCAGGTAGACTGACCAGTAGCTGACCCCGGTCACGCTGACCTAGCAGCGTACAGCCTGGCGAAACTAAATGACCGCTGATTCGGCGCTGTGTCAGACACAGGCCAAGACAGATGAATGTCAACTACCATCATCTCTAAAACTTTTCTCAATGCCTTAAAAAAACACACATTATGCAATGATCCCCTGATGGGCATACACAAGGTTTAACAAATGTGCTATCAAAGTCTACATTATGCTTTAGCAAACACAGTGCTGAAGAGCTAATCGACACTACTCTTATTTTGCCTACAGAATCCACATTGACATAACCCCTTCATTGCGTTATGATGTATCATGAAAATACGTAAGTTTTAGTTTTGTGCCATACCATGGACATTACAGAAATTGGCAAAAATTGCTGCTCCTGGTTGTCTTTAAGACGTTACATATATGTCACACTAATCATCTGGCTCTAATTCTTCTGTACAGAGTTTGAATTATGCAATAAAAATGCCCATATCAGTATCAAACAGGCTAGTATTAGTTTACTGCTAGACTTGCAAGCCACTAATTAACACGCGACTAGTCTCTTAATATGTAAACACCAAAATGACTTAAAAAGGCAGAAAATTTCACTTTTTGACTCAGATTTGCAAGTATGGGTAGTAGGATAGGGGATATACCGAATGAGGAAAGAGGAAAATAACATTATCGAAGACCTGGGGTCCAAAGTATGTAATGAGTGGGCTAGATCTAGACAGTGAGTCCACTAACACAGAGACATGAGACTGCTGTCCTGGCCAAGGAGCTTAGACGAAAATCAGTGCTGACAGTAGGAACGCACATCCTCTGGCAACGTAGGGGTTGAAACAAAAGTAGTGGACATGCTTTCATGAGAACTGAGGCCTTGAGTCTCTTACAAAAGCATGCATTACAAGACAGAACTGCTTCCAGAAGTGAACTTGCATAAAAAGCAACAAATTATCATGCCACATATAAAATACTAGTGACCTGAGAATCAAGTATAGAATCTATTGCACTTACTTGAATGAACATGTACTCCTTGTGCACTTGCAGGGTACCTGACAAAAAGGGCCCTACACCCTGTACGTCTTCTTGTGTCCTGGTACATTTTGGAGCGATGCAAGATTTGTAGATGGCTTGTGATGGTGCTGAAATGAGCAAAACCAATTAATTTAAATGAACAAATAATAGTAGGTGTCTTTTATTTGACACCCCTGAAGGATCATATGTTAATGGTTAAATTACTATAAAAAAAGGTCCCTGAAGCTTGAATATATGGATTACAACACTATTGGCTGGATATGAAGATAGTATTAGAAACTTATCATGAAACAATTTGCAGTCAGCTCTCCACAGCAGTCACCTGTACTAAAGGCCACTGTTTCGTGGCACCCTTGTGCTTTTCCTTTATATTTTAACCTGTTTATAACAGTCCCTGTCCGCTGGGGTCATGGTAGGTCACCCGACAAGTTGGTCTCAAAACTTGCTTGTAGCGGTCACTCGCTATAAAACTTTTCCACATACTCGTCCCCAAACTGAGTGTGTACACTCAATCAACGCAAATAAGCTCTTATGATAGACAACAAGTTTGATGGAAATGAAATGGAAAGATAAAATTAAGATTTCAGATTTTACGCCATCCGTTGACTTTGTCAAATTTAGTAAGTGACCATAACTCAGTCATCTGTTTATAACGATCACTTTTCTCTGTGATCTAGAGTGACTGCTATGGATAGGGTCTACGGTGTGTTTAAAAAAAATTCTTTTTGTAAAAGTAAACCAGTCTCATAATGCCCAACTGTTTTCTTTTGATGCAAACATACTTGACAGAAACAACATCAATATGTTTGTCCACAGAATTTTAAAAATATGATTAGGTACTGATTAAAATGACAAATTAGAGGAAGTTTTCTACTTCTATACTCTACGTTTACAGTTCATACTTGAGCCAAGTTCTTCCATGTGAACCACATCGACGTCTGTATCATAGTCGGGATGTCCCCTGTGCAAAAAAGAATAAATATTGTTACTTCAAAACATTTTACAAAATTATCTGAAGGAAAGCTTGAATTATTTCTCACAGCGCACCAGCAGTGGAATTTTAGTTGACGCCTGGGATTCCCCATAGAGAACATTATCTCCTTGGTGACTTGAGGTCAGCCAGACACCTCAAATTGTTGGTACTTTTCCAAATGAACTTTGAGGTGTAGAAAGGTATTATTAGTAATCACCATCTCACCAATTCAGGGCATGCGATTCTGCTTTTTTTTTTGGTTTTTAAAAAAAATAATGGAATTACAATCATATTTAGTGACGTAATATGTACAAGGTGTCACATGCTAGCAAGATGTTTCTTGAAAAGAGCTTGCCATTGGGCAGTTGAATATTCATACAAGCATTTAAGCAATTTTGAAAAATGGAATTTAGGATCATATGTAAGATACAATTAATTCTTTAAGGACACACCAAAAAAAAGGCATACGCAATTGTAACTTTGCATTTGATAAAAGTAGAAGTATGAGACAAGAGTCGAGAGATTATGAGAATAGAATTTCTCTTATTTATGACAATCAACACAAAAATAATATAGAATATGAAAGGAAGACTCATTTGAAGAACAATGCAAAAACTGAACTCACATTTTTACACTGTGCTTGAAGTTCTTTGCTGGTTCTCAAGGCTCTCCAGTTGCCTCCTTTGTCAAAAGAGACATGAGTGGTGAATGTCTCCGATTTCTCCTCCTTTCTGTTCACTATGAAAGTCCAGTTCATTCCTCGTACCTGTAACAGAAAGAACAGAAATGAACACAAGAAATATAATAATTGGATTGTTGGTCCAGTCTTTAGGCCAGTTTTAGAACTCAACTGATATAAAATGTTAAATGGTACTGAACTGTGATAAAAATGAAGTCCCATGTCTCAAACTTAAAAATTTGACACCACAACAAGAAGCCAGTCACCTTCAAACAAAATATGAAGTCATCCAGTGAGATCATAAGGTGTTTTTCCTAATTATATACTGGCGAGCAAAAGAAAGTGGGCAGTTTTCAAATTGGTGCTGTATGAGTAGTCTCACGAATTTTGACTTGGCGATTGACAAGCTGAGCTTGTGTCACTTTAGAAAGTCGGTCAGAACAACATTTGTTTATTTTGTTGTTATGAAAAGTGTTTACAACACGTTTTGCCAAAAACGTGTTTTCTCGTTTTTTCTTGAAAGTTTACAATGCCTTTACTTTTATTCTTTTTTTTCGTTACACACTTCAACGTGTGTCGGCGAAAAAGCCGTCAAAACTTTTTGGTTTGTTCTTTTCAATTTTGTT